CTTTTGACACTTTCCTCTAGGAATTGGTAGGCAAGCTGCGATGACAGCCTGGTCTATTTTCTTTTCTCCAGTGATGAACGGGCCATGCTGATAGATAAGCCTCCTGTGGAATGCTTGATACAGGATAACACCATTTGGTGTGACATTAGGAAGACTGCCACCAGTTACAAAAAGAAATAAGGGTTGCCAATACAGATGTTAATGTGACCCAAAGAGATGCTAATATCAGCAAAAGCACAACACAAATGGTACTTCTTTGTCCATATAATGTCATCTCCCTTTTCCCACACATGGCAACTGCTACTACAACTGCCCGCATGAAACTCCACTAAACTTCAGTGGAGATACCAGGGATGGGACTATAGGCAGCATGCGTGTAAAACACACATTCTACCCTGGAGTTAAAATCCTACCTCAATGCCTGTGAAAGGGTAAAGGTAAAGGTTCCCTTGCTCAAAAGCCAGTCGAGTCCGACTCTAGGGTTGCGGTGCTCACCTCCGTTTCAAAGCCGAAGAGTCAGCGCTGTCTGAAGACATTTCCATGGTCATGTGGCCGGCATGACTAAACGCCAAGGCACACGGAACGCTGTTACCTTCCCACCGAAGTGGCACCTACTTATCTACTTGCAATTTCTTGCTTTCGAACTGCTAGGTTGGCAGGAGCTGGAGCCAGAGATGGGAGCTCACTCCGTCATGCGGCACACTCGGGTCTCGAACTACTTTGGGGATACCTAACTCCTGCCTCCCATTAAACTAAAATGTAGTATTTCCATAGTTGTTCAGCAGCAATAAACTTATTTTTCCACCATAAAGTGTGACAATGGCAACCAGTTTAGATGGCTTCAAAAACGATTAGAGATGCAGGATAGGTGACTCAATGGCTTCACCATGATTCCTAAACACAACTTCCATATTCAGTTTGACAATCAGATACTGGGGAGAAACAACCAACTCTTCCCTTCATCCCCTGCTTGTGACCCTGGAGGCACCTGGCTGCGGAGACTGGGAACAGAGCACCAGAGCAGGATTAACCTCGGTCAGCAAGCCACAGGCCAGCAAAGCCATTTTTCACATGATGACCCGCCTAACAAGGAAAACAGACAATGTCCACCCAACCAGCGATGCCTAACTCTCTCCTCCAGAAGTCTTCATGCTACATTCCACAGTGCTGGTGGAGACAGAAAACAGCCAACTCATCGGCTCCTTCCTCAATCCACAGTGCCTTTGCAGACGGGAGGAGCAACCTGTGTTTACCATTTTAGGCCCTAGTTGTTGACTTATTTACTTTCAAGATGGTTATAAAGATACTTTCCTATCCAGCACTACTTTGACTTTACCTGCTGTTATCTTGACTTTCATGAATCAATCCCTAGGGAAACAGAATCCTTCAGCTTAGGAAAGTTCCAATGTGGCCTGGTCTAAAAAAGCTATTGAAACAAGTATGTACTGAAGATCTCGTTGCTGTTCTACTTCTCCATTTACAACTCAGATGTGGCCAATTGTGGAAAGACCATTTGTCTGTACTAATATATATTTTTTTGCATTGTTCATAGTATCAGTGGATGGAGTGCCTTGCATTTGCAAATACGCTTTGCTCCTTTTACTCCTGTGTAGGGATGTGCACTTGGTTTGTCCGAACCGAATGCACCCCCAAAAATGGCCCATTAGGACCCCTTTCGGGCTGCTGCAGGCCGATTCAGATTCTCTGATCTGAATCGGCTTGCCGCCGAATTGCCCCATTATATCCTATGGGCCATTGAAGTCAATGGCGAAAACATAGAGTATATTCTGGGGCTGGAGGGGAGGGGGTTTGAGGGAGAGGCTCCCAGACTAGCTGCTGGAACCTCTCACAGACTAGCTGCTGGAACCTCTCCCCAAGATACCCTCCATGTTTCAGGAACTTTGGACCAGGGGGTCCAATTCTACAGGCCCCTAAATAGGTTGCCCCCACCATAGAGAACAATGGAGGGGATAGGGGCAACCTGTTTGGGGGCCCGTAGCATTGGATCCCCTGTTCCAATGTCCTTCAAACTTGGTTGGTATCTTGGGGAGAGGCTCCAGCAGCTACCCTGTGAGTTTGGAGCCTCTCCCTCCAGCCCCCTCCCCTCTAGCCCCCAGAATATACCGTATGTTTTCGCCATTGACTTCAATGGCCCATAGGATATAATGGGGCTGAAACTGACATTCGGCTGGCAGAAAGACTCCTGAATCCGCTGGTACTGCCGAAATTGACATGCAGGAGTCTTTATGCCGGCTGAAATTGATTCTGCCCAATTCCGTGGATTCCGAATGGGCTGATTTATTTTTTTTGCACACCCCTACTCTCGTGAAACTTACTATTCCAAGGTATTCTGTTATCTTGAACCACATATTCGAAACATAGCTGGTTATTATGCTGCTTTTAATACGTATTCGATTTTGGTTTTGCTTCTGTTGTTGGGCTATTGGTTGACCAATGCCAATACTGTCTACTCTGATTTGCAACAGCTCTCTGGGATTTCAGATCCTGGAGATCTTTCACACGACCTCCTACCAGATCCTTTTAACTAGAGATGCCAAGGATCAAATATGGGAATTCAGCCATGGCATCCACCCCACCCCCTGCGGAGGTTTAAGAGAATAAGTCAAATTAATACAGTTATATTTCCACAGGTGCGTATGTTGCTGTAAAAGTAAGCATTTTGAGAACCGGCGTAAAACATTGTCCCCCATTGCCTTGAGACACACAGCAGAATTCAACCCATTGTTCATTGGGACTTTGTCCTCTGGGAATGAACAAGTTGAAAAAGAAATCTTGGGTTGTTGGTCATTACGAGTCCCCCAGGTAACCAACACGCATACACATTTGAGGCACGTGGCGTGAAGAGGAGGCCTCAAAGGAGTTGGGGAAGGAAGAAATGCACTTCCGTAACCAGGCCTGTATGCAGATCACTTATCGTGAGGTCAGTTGTTTTATTATGTTTTTAGGAGTGTGGATGCAAGAGGCATTCAGTCCTGCCAGCAGAGCAATGAGATGTGCATTCATTATATTTATTTGATTTGATTTGTACCCCCCCCCCCGCCCTCCCTGCCGAAGCACACAATTGTACTGGGGAAGGCTAAAAGTTTAAAGAACCACATACGACGATCCTGTGAAAGAAGTCTGTCCGAGGATCCAGAGACTCCTATTGTGGGGCTACCTCTTCTAAGAGGAAATGATCACTCAGTGCCACAACGACATATTCCAACCCTGCATGGGGATTTCAAGGCCAGAGACAAGGGGAGGTGGTCTGCCATTGCCTGCTTCTGTGTATCAACCCTGGGCTTCCATGGTGGTCTCCCATCCAAGGACTAACCTGGGCTGACCCTGCTTAGCTCCCAAGCGCTGACAAACATGGGCTAGTCAGGGCCATTGAAATTGTAAAGGGCAAATACTCAGCACCAGTTTGAGTCCAGTCAGGCACCTTGAAGACCAACAAAGTTTAATTCTGGGTATGAGCTCTCATGCACAAGGCACACGGCTTTGTTGGCCTGACAGGTCAACTGGACTCCGACTTTGTCCTACGGCTTCAGACCAACACGGCCGCCCCCACCTGGACCGATCAGCACTAATCTAGCTACACTTCAGCGCTACCATTTCTTAGTCACATTTGGGCTGGTAAATGGATGGATCCTGCCTGTCTTTGCTTTATCCCTCTGCTAGGTGAAGAAAGGATGCTAATCCATAGTAGTGATGGAGTTTAGAAGATACAGGGGTAGTCACGGCCCAGAACTGATTCGAGCATGTTGCTTAAAAAAGGAGGCTGGGAACCAGAAGTCCGAATCAACCTCATTCTTAAGGTTCTTCCCCCCCCCCCCACATACACACCCCTTTTCTTGAACGAACTGGGCAGCTGACCCTCAGCCCCTCAGTGGGTCCTGGCCGGCTGCAGGGAATGGCCCTTGCAGAGCACCTACGCAGCTTTTGCTGCAGCCCACGGAGTATCATCATCATCATCATCGCCTCCTTCAGCCTCAGGCCCACAGAGGCTGTGCCCGGCCTGCGACACTGTCCCTAACAGGCGAAGGGCCCAGGACACTCAGCAGCACAGGAGGAACAACAACGCCTGAATCCAGACAGGCTCTTAGCAGATCTCACACCAAATGCACAAAGAGGCACCTCACTGATAACGTAGGGGCAAAACCTGGATGTCCCGTAAAGCGCTGGCCCCGGAGGGAGCAGCAAGGCCCTTCCCTTCCCAGTGCCCTTGGTGACCTGCTTGTTTTCAAACATTGACTTGTGGCACACGGTGCATTCTTAGGCACATATCTAAGAATCACTTAGGTGCACAAGTATATGAAAAAGGTTCATTGGATGGATTCAATATATATATATATGGATTCAATAGATGGATACATACACATACATACACACACACATACTGGGAGCAGAGCACACCCACCCTGCCTTTTCCAAGTAGATTATGTGTGTGTGGG